GTACTCATGAGAAATGAATCCACACAGTTACTTATACTTCAATTATCTGACTTATGGATTTTATTATTTGATTGTATGACTTGGGCTATCTGTTGAATTTTAATGATAGTGATTGTGCCATGTTCATAATTTTGATACCCTGTTTTCTTCTAAAAAGTTGCTGTGCGAGCATTAGAACATTCCACCTTATTCTTCATATATTTGTCTATGTTGGCCTGTTGTGTCTGCCTGAATATTCTAAGCAATATTCTAAACCCACAAGTTTCAGGATTTACTAGGTATCTCGGTGGTGATTGCATTTGTTTCCAAGATTAGTATTTTCTTGACATGTAATTCATGTCTAGCATGTACTTTGGTTCGTACAGAATTAATGTATTTTGGTTTGGCCAGTGTTCTGTTAGGTGATCGGATGCTTTAGTCTGTGGGGACATTTTACCTGCTTGATGTGTGATCACTGAGGCATAGTGCCTTCGATTCCCCAAACCTCAATAAACATTGCCATCAAATGTGGTGTAGTTCTGTGTTGTTTTTCCATGCAATCTTCTGTCTGCGGTGATGTTCTGTTTTCACTCCATCATGTGAAATTTGAAATGTATGAGATGTCAATGTTCACCGTGTTCCCTCAGCGATTTTGCATAATTTATGCACATTGAAACATCCTTTCAGTTATTTCAGAAAAATAGGGAGACTACTGTTACTGTCATATGTGGTGCTGTCTAAAGCTTAACTTGCTGAGCTCTAGATTCATATAGCTCACTAAACAACATTGAAACCCTAAACTGCTAACTTCAGTTGGCCTACACCGGTAACAGGTCACCACTGGGAGGTTACTGCCTGTAACAAAGATTGAAAAGTTTGCACTTACTAGCAGCTCTGTGGTTCTTGGTTCCCAAAGACTTCTGGGATTCTTGCAGTGGCACAATGGCACTTATTAGTTTTAAATATGACTGAAGCATAACCTCTGTTTGTTGCAGGAAAACTCTCATGCGAAGGAAAAGTCGAGCATAAATTCGACATGGAACCTCACAAGGATAACTTATTAAACTACGCGAAGTTATGCCGTGAAAGAACACAAAAGTCGATGGTTAAAACTAGAAAAGTGCAGGTGGAGTGCTTCAATGGTCCATTCACCTTATTGCGTCTTTAGGGTATTATAATTAACCATTCTCTTCACTGCTTGTAGGTACTTGATAATGACCACGGAATGAGCATGAGACCCATGCCTGGCATGGTTGGTCTGATATCTTCTAGTTCCAAGGTAGTTGCTTCTTCTGCCATTTGAGGATCATCCATTGTGCTTTTGTCCATATTGATATATATGTCAACATTTGTTCAATGTTCAAAAAAGCGAAAAGCGTAAGCAAAGCGGAAGGCCACAGCTGAGAGCAATGGGCGCTTAAGCATTTTTTGAATTTGGCTAGAATTTGATAGATTTTGAATAATATACACAGGACAATAGGAAACATGGCACATCGGTAATTGAAATAGCATCTAAAATACAGTTCACACCATAGCAAATACACATCAGGTTCACATAGCAAGCAAAATAACAACTCAAATGCAGATCGGTTCAAGTAGACATAACCTAACAGAGATTATGTGGTCAGAATTTTGCCAGAATATGAAGAAATAGTTCCCGAACAGAGCCTAATATAAGATAAATGGTATACTGCCATTATTTCACAAGCAGACAAGCATAACTAGTTCAAAAACAGCCAAATTCTGGCCAAATTTTTAAAAAATGCTTAATATACCGCTTAGGGCAAAAGCAAAGCGCTTTGCCATCGCTTAAAAACGCTTTCTTGAACACTGCATTTGTTAATACATCTAGGGGTTTTTAATATGTCATGCAATGTTTCCTGAACTTAGATCCAAAGTTAAGTTATGTACTCCCTCTGTCCCATAATATAAGATTGTTTTGCAAGCAAAAAAATCTTATATTATGAGACGGAGGGAGTAGAACATACACCCATTTTCGTGTTATCTATATGACTTGATTGTAAAATGATTCGCAATTTCGAAGTTTTTCTTCCACTTCAGATCCGTATATCCATTATTGTTGCCCATTGTATGTAATTTGCCAATTATAACTTGTCATGACATGTTTAAATTTGTGATGTGCAGGAGAAGAGGAAGCCAACGCCAACCAAACCATCCGATGTCAAAAGGACACGTAGGGATCGCCGGGAACTGGAAAACATTATATTCAAGCTTTTCGAAAAGCAGCCTAACTGGGCACTGAAGGCTCTAGTGCAAGAGACTGACCAGCCAGAGGTACTTCCTAAGCTCATCCCTGGCATCGTTAGCAGGGAAAGAAAAATCTGTCCTGCTAATATGAAGTGGTTTCCAGCACAGATCTGCAATTTGTTCGTTTCTCAGTGACCACTTACTTGCGCATCTGTTTGTGCTTGGCTCGATGCAGCAATTCCTCAAGGAGATATTGAACGACCTCTGTATGTACAACAAGCGAGGGCCGAACCAGGGCACGCACGAGCTCAAGCCCGAGTACAAGAAGTCGTCAGAGGACGCCGCCGGTGCTGCTCCGTGAAGATGATTCGCGTATCCGACTGCTGTTGTATAACCGAGTACCTGTTGGCTTTGATGCGCGGAACGATGAGTTGGCTGTCTGGAGCCTCAGATCATGCCTGGGCTGCATTTGCTTGCTTTTTCTTTATTAAGAGGCATTGTTGTAACTGTATGGGTATAAGATGATACATATACAACACATGTCACAGAAGGGAAATGGAAATACTGATAAACCACATGAAAGATCGTTTGATTTCCAGGGTAGCTGCAAGAATCATGCCGAGGATTCGACGTGTGCGATCCGTATTCCTTTTGAGAACTTCTGTACTTCAATATAGTCCAGATATTTGGGGCGTGGATTTGGTGAACATGATTTCACGCGCACCCCTAATGAATTTTAAAAATAAAAAATGCTTGAAAAAATTTAAAAAAAAAATCTGAATTTAATATATATAGTCAACCGATTGTAATCTAGACAAAAATGCAAAATCAAAACTATATTAAAAAATACTATTTGATGAATAGTATGGTCACAATTGTATTTTTTCCTAAGAATATCATGGGTGTCAATTATACCTGGCCATGGGAAGCTCGGGCCGACGCTGCCCCCGGGCCGGGCTCGGCCCTAGATTTATTTTGAGCCTGAAAGCTGGGCTGGGCCGGGCCGGGCCTGGGTCCATCATTTTTGTGTTTCCCTGAAGGTCGGGCCGGGCCGGTCCGGAGCCCGACAGGCTTTTACGTGTTCGGGTTGGGCTTGGGTCTAGAAAACAGGCCCGATGGCCGGCCCGGGCCTGGGTTTTTTGTGTCGGGCTTGGCTAGGTATGGCCAGGTATAGTGTCAATACATCACGTAACTTCAGACGTGAGTAGAATAGTCGACTAAGTTTCATACCACGGAAATTCAGAATTTTCTAAGTAATCACTATTTTTTTTTATGAATTTACTATTCACATGGGTGCTTGTGAAATCATGTTCACCTTTGTATTTTCGTTGGGTAAAATATGAAATGAAATCTAGCCTGAGCTTATGCCTGATTTGTCGAGACAGTTGTGCAGAGTTTGAGAGAACGAGAGAGATTGTGAGATGCGACGCACTATTCTTTTTTTCTTTCTTTAGGGAAAGATGCGACACACTATTCATTGAGCCATTCCCGCCCTGGTTGTCCGCTTCGGAGGCCTCTCCTCACTGTTGGATTATTAATCAGACGGTGGACGCGAAAGAGAAACCCTCTCCCGACTTCCCGAGCCTCGCTAATCCGCCCGCCGCTCTCTCCTCTCCTGCTCTGTTCAGCTCGGCTCGGCTCTGCTCTGCTCTGGGCTCCGGCCGCTTTCTTCTTCGTTGCCACCGCCGCTGCCGCTCCGATCGGTGCTCTTCCCACGCCACAGCCCCCTCCGCCTCCAGGTAAACAAATCTTCTATTCCTCTCTGCCGCCTCTCTCTCCTCCTGGGAACAGCGCGCCATGTACGCCAGCTGTTTGTTGAAATGTCTCAACGGTCACCGCTGTCACCGGCGTGCTTCGTCCCTCCCTGCGATCCGCGGTTAGCCTATGGTGGGAATCGGGCAGTAGCAGTAGCATGATCCCAGCGTAAGGCCGCTCCTTTTGGACGAACGTGCCGTGCAGGAGGCGGCCCTTGGATTGAGTAGAGAAAATTAAGATCAAATGATGCCCCGTGCTGTGCATTCTGGATTTCCTATTGATTATGCCATTGGAGTTCATACCTGCCAGTGCATTAGCTACTTAGCTTATTATGTCATCGTTGTTCGTCTAGAAAGTGGACGACCTCATGTCAGAGATTCCTTGGCATTTGTGTTTAGGCTTATGTCAGACACCGTCCCTGAGTGTGTACCTGAGAGACACAATTCAAGCCGTCGCACTAGTTCTCTAGGCTTTCGGAAACTTGGACTCGTTTAGACATTGCCAGTCTACATTACTGAATAATAGACAAGCTCGTACATCGTGGCATGACATTGGAAAAAGTAACAACGCTCTGATATACTATTATTACTGTTCCATAATGTTGACCCCGTCGCTCATGCCATCCGTTGTTAGTTCCCATTTCAGGTGATAAAGAACAAGCTCTCGGAAAAAATTGCAAAACCTTGTTTAGAATGTGTCTTTTGGCCATTGTACTTTGTGTTTTCGCTCTGTCTCTTATATTTATGTATGCATTTAGTTACTCACAAGACCATTAAATATGTTTTAGTTACAATTGTTTCATGTTAGCTTTGCAGATATTCAGCTGTTTTCCTAATGCACATTCTCAGTCATATTGTATTTTGCTAGAAAAATACTACACTGGACACGTAAAAGGCTCAAGATCAAGAGAATTGATCTGCTAGAGCAAAGTGTTGAAGGGGAACGATTGCTCTGGTTTTCTTTTTGTTATGTTCAAGGGGGAAATAAGGGTATTTTCCAGTGATTTTGTTTGTGGCTATATCATTTAAACGTTCTTTTGTCTCTGCATGTAGATTACGATGGGTTCTGTTGGCACTGGATTGCTGAAGGGCTTGAGGAGAGTCTTAGAGAAGCAAAGGAAACCAGTTGGTTGGTTATTTTCCATTCTTATTCATTATGATTGATGATAAGCACAGTCATACTGAGGAGTAAGGGGAAAACTTCATTACTGGCTCTTTGTAGATTTATGCAGAACATCACGAGCTTGGAGTTCTACAGTTTCTTTCTCCGATATTGATGAGAAGGATGACATGGGTGATGATGGCGATTTGAAAGATTCAAGGAGAGAGTTAGAACCCCAAAGCGTGGACCCCAAGAAGGGCTGGGGATTCCGTGGCGTTCATAGGGTATTTATATGTTATGTGATACAGTGATTTGCTGCTTGGTTCCATGGACTCCAGGAGCATAAACTGACACTTATTGGTATGTTTTGTTCTTGCTAGGCTATAATATGTGGTAAAGTTGGACAAGCGCCTGTGCAGAAAATTTTACGTAATGGGCGGACGATAACTATATTTACTATTGGAACTGGTGGCATGTTTGACCAGAGGGTAATTGGGTCTGCGGATACACCAAAGCCGGCTCAGTGGCATCGAATAGCTGTTCATAGCGAGCATCTAGGTGCTTATGCTGTTCAGAAGTTGGTGAAAAAGTATGTGATTCAAATACAAACATTTCATCTTTTCTCTCCCCATATAGATGTAGCAAGTCTTGGATTTTATCTTCATTTGGAACATGTTAGCTTCATTCATGCCTTATTTCAGCTCTGCGGTATATATCGAGGGTGAAATCGAAACCAGGGTCTACAATGACGGCATTGATGGTCAAGTCAGGAATATACCGGAGATCTGTATTCGGGGTGATGGTATGCTGATCAACATTGACTAACAATTTAACGCTAATTCAATTTTGTTGTAGTAATTTTTGATAAGGAGTAATTCTGTAATAGTTTTTATAGGTAACTCAGTGACTGTTGTATTTTGCTTGCTAATATTCTTTTTATTCTGTATATCTAACTGAACACAGCCATGCGTTCTGCCTTTTTCAATTATACTTTTCTTCTGTACTACTCCCTCTGTCCCATAATATAAGGGCGTTTTTGACACGTTCAATAATATAAGAGCGCGTGGCAAAAACGTTCTTATATTATGGACGGAGGGAGTAGTTTACTATATCAGTCTTGCTAAATCTCAGTTGACTGAGACTTAGTTATGTCTCCGTCAATGCTATATTCGTGAGATCTTACATGAGATCCATGCAAAAAAAAAAAACAGTTTTTTTTCTTGTTCTTTCTTACATGTTATGCACTTGACTGAGACTTGGTTCAATCTTAGTCGACTGAGACCTAGCCACACCCATTATGCATTCCCGTCATGCAAAAGCTAATCTTCTGAGTAATTGTTTTGTGTACAGGTAAGATTCGACTGGTTAAATCTGGGGAGAGTGCTGCTAGCATATCACTAGATGAGCTGAGTAAGTTTTATGACTATCTTAAGGTTCTGAAATACAGGAATGTTTCTTTTGTTTGTGTTTGTCGAGCATTATGTGTTAGTCCATGGTCCTCACAATGTTTGGCATACTGATATATGTTTCTATATTACTATGCAAACCATGATAACAATAACCTTTGGACGCAGGAGACGAATTGTTCTAGTTACAGCTATCGATGTCAGCATAAGCAGGTCAGGACTAGATATCTTGCTTGAGGCCTTTTTCCAATGTGTGTGTTTTGTTAGCTTTAGTAGTGTTAGCTTTTGACTGTTGAGTCGTATCTAAATGTTGTGCTGGTTGCAAGTTCTGAGTTTTTTCTCCTTTTCAGTTTGGCTTTAATTTTGCATTATTTGTGGAACACCTTCAACTATCGAGCATTACCCTCTCTCATTCGGTGTTATTGTGTTTCCATGGTTGAGAAACATCCACAATCGATACACATCCTTTTTACAACTTTCACGACCTTAAAGTAGGGGTAGAGCAGTATTATTGCCGCAACTACGCTGTTGACCTATGCAGTAGACTTTCCCAGTAAACAACATTCTGAAACAACACATCCCAATAAACGGACAAACTGACTTCATAATGTGAGTGGTATCTTCATCGCGAGGAACTTTATGATGTTGGTACACTAGTGGTAATTCTGGCCTTAAGTATTCCAAACCTTGAATCCTAAGATATTTTCCCTTTTATTCATGTTTTAATCTGTTTTTACATGTTTGGTGGGCAGTAGACAGTTTTCTCTGGAATGCTCTAGGTATTTATGAAGAATAGCACAGTGAGATCCAGCTAGGTCAAATTTTATTCCAAATTTTCTGGCCGATATGGTAACAAAGGAACACATTGAGCAGAAATTGCAGAGTTGAACTAGCAAAGTAACTGTTCACTCACTCTACATTATCATTGAGGGTTAGTTTTTCACTATATATCAACTGCATCAGTTGAGAATGATAACCAAGCCATATTTTAGAATCAAAGACAAACAAATGTCGATGAAGTTATATTCTCATGAAAAATAACATGAAGGCAGAAAACCAGTTTCATATATCTCCAGTGAACGAAGCTTGCATACATTCGGAAATATAATGATATTGAAACCTCATACCATAAGATTGATCATATTTACAATTGACATGTTGCCTAGGAATATCAAACTTAAATTACTACAAATATAACTCTTCAGTAGATTGGCAGACTCACATCATTATAATGTCCAAAGATGACCCAGAGCATCATTGGGATGTTCCTTACATCGAAAAGCTTCTCACCTAGTTAGAGTGAGCATGACTTTGCTGATGTTGAAGGCCTCCCCTTATCTCTTGAGCTCCTTCTGAGCATCTCCCTCATGCCATCGGCGACTCGTACAGCTGGGCTTGACAGAGCCATCCTGCAGAATGCCATATGCGCCTTGATAGCCTCTTTGACGCCATCCTGGCCTCTTCCCTCTCTACTGAGTTCATCCCCTACGGCCTCCGAGCATAGGCCGCAGAGCCATTCCCCTCCAAAGTTGGCCTTGACGCTCTTTATGTACTCCTGGGTGCACTCCTCTTTGAAGTCGCAGCATGCGCACCTCATTGGCTCAGTGTCCATCTTGAGTGTTGATGGAGACGATATGCGAAAAACAGGAGGAGCGTAGCAGCAGAGCTGGAGAAAGAGGGAGGGAGTGGACGAACAGAAGGGAGCGATAAGGACCTCGGGACTAGGCTGCTAGCCTACTTGTATGGAAAATTTTGAAGGGCTTGTTTTTTCCTTTGGCTTGTCTGGGCTAGCTTGATCGATTATTGAAATTCCGGGATTTTCCCTGGCCCATAGCATCTTGAGCAGTGCACTAGGTTGCGAGAGCATGTGTGATATGCATTGTTTGCTGACACTTTACTAGGTAAAATTGGCGATGCGGGGAAACCTTCATCACATGGCTGCTGCTGTGTTGAAGGTACATGTGGGAGAGGATGTTGTTGGTTGGTCTTGTTAGCTATGATCCTACCTATGACGATAACGCAGCTCGTAGTGGTCGTTGCATGTTTCTTATAGCTAGAGGTTTACTCCCGTATGCGCTCATTCGGATCCCAGAAGCGTTGCTTATTTCCGCCGTCGGAATTTTACTCTCCTCAACTCCATTGTAACCTTAAACTTATGCTGCGCAGGTCGTAACTCATAACTAGCGGCGAGTCAATTTGGGAATAAGGCGGCTGCTTTGTTGAAGCCGTGGATGCTGAGAAAGATGAATATCGTCACATCTTCAACCTTGGCAGAAGCGGTTAGACATACCGGTGGATGCGCGTAAACCCGAGCTCGTGTGTTATACCATGTTGCGGGTGGTGATCGATGAACAGTTTTACCACGGTTGATGGATGATATGATGTGTAGTACTGAATGATTGTTCAAGATAGACATGGTGGAACTGGAACGGCGTGGCAGAAGGTCCTGAGAGTCGTGCACTATTCTTCGCTCGTGAGAAGTACTCCCTCCGTTCGGAATTACTTTCACAAAAATGGATGTATATACAATTAAAATAAATCTAGATACATTCAATTTTTTGGACGAGTAATTTCGAACGGAGGGAGTATCTTCCTGTGGAATGGTCACAAAATTGCTGACCGTGGCCGCCTGACGTAGCTAGTGTGGACCATTGACTTGGGTGAGTAGGCAGCAGCGCACCGCAGTCGCGATCGCGCCCAGACGCCGGTAAAAACGGATGGCACGTACGCCCGTGAGAGTTGGCTCTAGTTTGGATAGCGCACAGCACGGGGTCGGCCAGGCCTTGGATGATTAGTAGATCGCCGGGGGCGCACAAGTGGGTACTGCGTAGGGTCCGGGCGGAGCGAAGCAGGTGGCACGAACGAACAGCGCTCGTCTGCGTGGCCGCGAGGACAAATGTCCGGCTCAGCTGTTGAGCAAGTACTTTTGGTGTAGTGTGAACAGCCAATGCGCGCGTGCACCCGCCCGCCGCTGGCCGTCCTCGGCCGCTCCCGGCGCCGGCGCGACGGAGGGGGGCGTGGAAGATGGGCACCGGGAGCGCGCGCGGCGCCCACAGGGGCCGGCCGGGTGCGCGTCGCGTACGTAGAAGCACGAGGGAGCACCTGAGACAGGGACAGCGAGCCGCTCGTCCCGGCGCGTCGCGGGGGGTTGGACCGACGTGCGTGCGTAGGACGGTACGAGGCTGGCTGGCTGGCTGGCGAGCGCACGGGGCCGTGCCGGGGGTCACGGGCGCGGGGGCAAGGCACGTGGACGCGCCGTGGAGTTTCTCGCCGCGGCCCCGACAGCCAGCCCCCGCAGCCGCTGCGCCAAGGCGTAGCTAGGGTCTAGGGCCACTGCACCTCCACGTGAAACCCAGCCCCCCTCCCCGCGCCACTGCTTCCAGCCTCCAGCTCCAGGCCACCTCCGTCGGACTCGGCCCAGGCCCAGGCCCCTACCCGTCTCTACGGCTAACGTCGCTCCTCGGCTTGGCCTGGACCAGATGTCGTGGATCCATCCTGCAACTTGAACTCCGCCGGAGTCCGGACAGTCGATCGAGTCGCGCCTGCCGCACCATGGATATCCGTTGGTACCTAGCGCGGTGCAGACCTGCAGCCTGCGCCAGCAAGCCAAGTGGCTGGAGGATCGACCCGGCCGGCGTCGATCACCGACGAGAGGCGCCGGCACGACTAGCGCACGATCACAAGCGTTGGTGAACTCCTTCATGGCTGTAAATCACGAGATAGCGCGCGGTACTGTACTGAGTATTGAACCTCCACTTTGGACAGGGCCACAAGGGTGTCTGTCCATCTGTCAGGTACAGTTTCCGGACCATGCAAAAAAAAAAGGTACAGTTTCCGGACTGATTTTATGGACCACGTATACGCCGATCATCCCGCAGGCCACGACGCTGATACGTACGCCAGCTGATTATGCTCGATCCTTTCATACAGATAGATATTTTTTTTAGGGAAAAGAATACGGAAATGTTAACGCCCACACTTGTGGGCGTTAGCCATCTCAATCACACGTCTGCATCGCCGTCCAACAGTCTCTGCACGAATCTTGGCAAGTTTTGGCTGATTTTGTGTGCCACGTAGGACAAGGCGCGTGTGTGGTGTGTGACATAGTTCGCCCACACGCCGGTTGCCTCCCGCGGTCAGCGGTTGCCACTCAGGGGCGTGCGGTGGAACTGCTTTGCGCCCGCACGCGACGCCCGACCGTGGTTGCCGTCAAACACGTCGCGCACTTCGCCCCCCTTCCCCTCACGGTTCTGTTTACTCCTCCCCTCAGTTACTCGCACAACCAACCCCGCAGTTCAGTCGATTGGAGGAGAAGGCGAGAGGAGAAGTCGACGGCAGAGGCGGAAGAGTCGACGGCATTCGCGGCCGTCGGTGGGACTCGTCGGACCGGAGCGTCTTCGCCGGAGCGCATGCAGATTGAAGGTAATGCTCCCTCCCATGCTCAAAATCCTTGCCTGCATTTCTCCCCTCCCCTCCGTGGTCGATGCTTCGCTTGAGATTCATCGAGATTCAGGCGGGTTCGCCATGCGCCGGCGTTCCCGCCGGCGGCGGAGACTTGCGCTTGTCGTTTTCGGTGGCATTGAGCAGTTTCGTCGCCGCCACGGTGGCGGTCACGCCGGTGTGGTTCGGCCTGTCCGGAGCCAAATCCTGGTTGTGCCTTGGGATTAGGCCGTCGTTTTTCTGTCCGATAGTTGCTCATTGCGTCGAAATGCTATTTGCGATCAGTGTAGTGAGAATTTTGTTGATGAATTTCAAGTTATGATAGTTGCCATCGAACCCTAGATCTAGGTAGTTGTTTTCAAAGTGCAGTATGAATGCAAACTTGGTAGTTTCAGTAACTATCTGCACCGTATGGCAACTAATTTCCTGATCGACTGTGATAGTTGCCACAAATATGTTTTCCATGTGGCAACTAATTTCGTGCACATGTTATGGCTGTTGCTACGCTGTAGGCATGGTAAAGTGTAGTAAATATGTAGTCATGGCAGTTTCAGCAACTATGTGCACTAGATGGCAATTAATTTCCACATCAACTGTGGCAGTTGCCACATATATGCTTTTCCATGTGGCAAGTATTTCTGTGAGCACAGTATGGCTGTTGCCATGTTGTAGGTAGGATAATGTGGCAAATTAACTGTACTACAGACTCAATTTTGTGTTTTGTCACGCTGACTTGTGGCAACTG